CCATATATTATGAAACTGAAACCCGCTTCCCTGCCCCCCAGTGGCACAGCGGTATGTCTGCGGACTTACAACGCTAGAATTCGGGTTTCGATACCCGTGGTGGTCAGAACACAGATAGCCCATTGTGTAGCTTTGTGTTTAATTACAAACAAACAACAAATAACAAAATATTTAAGGTTTGTATCATATTAGATGGTAGTTTAAAATGTATAGTCTGATGGGTCTCCCGGTGGGACAGCGGTAAGTGTACGAACTTACAACGCTAAAATCCGGAGTTCGATTCCTCACAGTGGACACAGCAGATAGTCCATTGTGGCTTTGCTATAAAACAAACACAAGCACACCTATTGGATGGTAGTTTTACGGTTTATACCTTTATTAGGTAGTAGTTTTACGGTTTATACATTTATACTTTTAAAAACTATACCTTTATTAAATGATACTTTAAAGTTTATACTTTTATTAGATGGTAGTTATAAGGTTTATACTTTATATATATATAAATGGTTTACAAGCCGTTTTTAACCAGTTTACTTAGAATTTAGCATTGGGAAAATCATGTTATCAGGTTTTTTTCCTCGCCTTAACTATACTAGAGATTTCAGAAAATATAACGATGGATTCGTCACCAGAGGAACATTTGACTCATGTATTACTCATCTGTGACTAGTAAAACTTTGTTTGTTCCCGGATTTTGCACAAATCCACACAAGGCTATCTGCGCACAAATTATGAGCTGACAGCCTAGAGAGAAAGCTGCTAGACAACAGTACCCACCGCCAACTCTTGAGCCTCTATTTTCTGATCAAATAATGAAATTTAACCGTAACTCGAGGCCCCAAACTGTGGGGCGCGTTCTTGTGGCAACGGATCACGAACCATGAATTATGAAACTCAAAGTTCGGGTACACTAACTACTGAACCACGCCAAGCCCACATTTCTGTGAACTGTGAACTGGTGTGGTAATTTGGAAGCCCTCATGAATAATAGTGTTGTTAATTACTGAAACTTTTTTTTTATTACTGACGTAGGTGAACACATGTTATTTCAGGATTAAATTTCTCTCTAGGCAACATTTCTCTCTAGGCAACATTTCTCTCTAGGCAACATAAAATCTTATAGAGAGCGTTTCGAGAAATGAAAACTTCAGCAAAAATGGCCCTATGGTTATTTCTATGTTAACGACCTATTGCTTATAGCCCCGGTGGTTAAGGCATTCGACTCGTAATCTGCGGGTCGCGGGTTCGAATCCCCAGTCACCGAACATGCTCGCCCTTTCAACAGTGGGGTCGTTATAATCTGATATTTAATCGCACTATTCGTTGGTAAAAGAGTGACGTAATAGCTGGCGGAGGGTGGTGTCGACTAGCTACCTTCCCTCTAATCTATCATTGCTAAATTCGGAATAGCTAGCGCAGACGGTCCTCAATTAGCTTTGCGTAAAATTCGAAACAAACCAAACGCTTAACGCTGTTCATACATAAAATAGATAAAAATAACAAAAACAGTCACATTAGCTGTTAAATGGTATGGACTTATTAAGAAGTTTGATAGCTCCAAGTCTATTCCTAAGATTAATTCCCTAAAAAAAACATATAACGTCCTTCACTCCCTGACATCATCCCGAAGCTCTCTCCAAAAAATAAAATGAAGCATTTATAAATAAAAATAATACTTTAAATGTAATAAATATGAAACTGAGTAAATGGTATTGATGAAAAAATAAATAATGTTAGGGCTGGTCGTGGCCTAGTAGTTAGGGTTCCTGAACTATGGATCCGAGGATGTAAGATAAGAGTAGGGTGTCCGTTAACAGTTCAAAATTAACAGATAGTCTTTGTGTAGCTTTGCGCGAGAATGGCATCAATGAAAAAATAAATATTTTATTCAAACTAGTATAATTAGTCAGTTATATCTAAGTCAAAAAATCTCTATAGAGGTCGTGTTTATTATCCTGTTTGTTTGTTATGGATTTCGCGCAAAGCTACACGAGGGCTATCTGCGCTAGCCGTCCCTAATTTAGCAGTGTAAGACTAGGGGGAATAGTGAGATTGACCGTTACATTATAACATCACTACGGCAGCAAATACGAGCCTGTTTGGTGACGGGGTTCAATCCCGCGATCCTCAGATGGCGAGTCGAACGTCCTGACCATCAGGCCATGCCGAGACCTATATTAGTTATCAAATGTTTTAACCTTTACAGATAGTTTTATATAAAACTCAGGTTTGTTTCATTCGTATGGGTTGTTTTGTCTTCCAAAATTACATTTAAGTTCAAATATCTTATTTTGTAGAACTAAAGTTTCTTCAGGACCTATTTTAGTTCTTGAAATAGCAGCTCAAAGTCCACTACAAAAACTTAGGTAAGAACATTAAGAACGAAATCCTGACAGTGCCCCAAAATTTCTATCCTGCCTAAAATCGATGCCAAAAACATCAATTTAAACGTCTTATAAAAAATATATATCAACTTTATACTTTTGCCCACAGACTCCGAAAACGTTGAAGTTTACTTTATAATGTGGTATTTTTCCCGGGAAAACCAATATG